TAAAATTGGTAGCAGTTTAGATCTTCTGATGAATCATAAAAGGATAAACAATAATCCTGGGATTTTAATAATACAAATCGTCGGTCTCCGGTGAATGTACACACAGTCGATTCCATGTGATGTTTATCGGTGCGGTTATAATGCCTAATAATAATTATTGCGTGATTTTTCAGCAGACCATTGAGCGGAGAATCGTGATCTTTAACCGTTTGACTACTTTCCCCGATTTGAGTAGATAGTAATACTCCTACCTAGATATACGTACACGCCTCACGGAAGAATTTAATTTGAGCTAATGGAACGAAATGTGCTCTTTAAATACTCTCACTAACAATAAGTGTTTTATCGTTAAAAAGATGGAAACTCATTTATATTAAGGGATAAAAGGTTTAGATATTACTGAGTAGATGTAGAACTGCAATTGCTTTAAGAATTTTATAAATCTCTTCCCATTGCACTGCACAATTAAGAACACAATCTTCTGCTTAAAATATTCAATTGAATACTAACCGAAGTGATCTATTGCTCTACTAGGAAGGGTGATGTAGATTTTTCAAATGAGATGTGCGTTTTTAAATTAAATCTATCGGGTTGTTCGCAAAGTCATTTCGTTTTTTTTTTGTGGAAATGACAGTTTTCGTATAATAAACGAGGAGGTTTTTGACCTCCTCATTTGAGGTGAAGGTTTTACCGTCTAAAAAATTTTGGAGTGACCGGAACAAATAATAACCCGATAGTGCCAGGTCTGGAGAATATGGTGGGTGTAGCATTGTATCCCATTCAAGCTGTAAAAGCTTTTGGCGAGTGACCAAACTTGTGTGAGGTCTCGCGTTGTCTTGGTGAAACACTACACCTTTCCTGTTGATTAGTTCTGACCTTTTCTGTTGAAGTGCATCATTCAGTTTGTCCAGCTGATGACAGTAGACTTCCGAATTAATCGTTGTGTTATCCGGTAAAAGCTAAAAAAAAACGATTCCTTTAAAATCCCACCAAACAGACAGCATCACCTTTTTTTGGTGAATATCGGCTTTGGAAATGGTTTGAGCCGGTTCATCTTTTTTGCTCCATGACCTCTTGCGTTTGACGTTGTTGTATACAACCCATTTTTCGTCCCCAGTGATGATGCGCTTCAAAAACGGATCATTTTCGTGACGTTTGAGAAGCGAATCGCAGACGTCAATGCGGCGACACAGATTTCTCTCTGTGAGAACATGGGGAACCCATACATCGAGCTTCGAGGATAATCCCAGGCCTTTCAAGTGGTCATAAACTGTTGAATTTGATAAATTTAACCTCAATCCGATCTCACGTGTTGTTATTCGCCGGTTCACATCAACTAATGCCTTTATCGCGTCTTTATCAGCTTCAACCGGCCTTCCCGAACGTGGTGCATCTTCGACATCAAAATTGCCGGATCGAAATTTAGCGAACCAGTTCTGGCACTGGCGTACTGTCAACACACCTTCTCCATACACATCAGTCAATTTCTTTCTGGCTTGAACAGCATTTTTACCCTTTCTGTAGTAAAACAGTAAGATATGTCGAAAATGCTGCTTATCGCTCTCCATATTTAAAAGGGCACCAACCAAAAACTACTGCGTAGAATTAATTGGAATTTTTCACACACAAGCCTTGCTATATGAGCTCTCAAAGCATATAAAAATTATACGGCTTAAATGTGAAGTTGGGTGCAAAAGAATACAATTAAATCCTCTGTCGGAAAAAAACGAAATGACTTTCCGAACAACCCTATACAAGAGGTTCTCTAAGCTAGACCAAATAGATGTTTTGTTAATAATATTGGTTGATTATTTTTACTGATATTTTTTCAAGGGGATTACACTTGATACAAAAATGTCTAACGTCCTGCCAAAAGAGGAAGCTACCCAATTTTATGACATTTTTTTTTCGTTTCCTGCTTCAATTCACTGCACTGTAACAAGTGCAGGTTTTTATAAATTTCACGCATATCTGCCCAACACAAAAATGCGGGAATTTATTATTCTATTAAATAAACTTCAGAACTTCACTACTTTTTCCAAAGTATTTAGTTTAAAAGTAGTCATAGATAAACTTTAACAACAAATTTTGCAACTATTCATTCTTTTGAATCGAGCATTTTTAGTTGCACAGAAATGTGTGAACTTTCGGAAGTTTTGCATTAAGCTCATTATAAAAACCTACGCGTTCGTTGTGCAGTGAATTGAAGCAGGAAATGAGAAAAAATGTTATAAAATTGGGTAGTTTCCTCTTTAAATTGCTTGTTGGACATTCATGAAAAATACATTTTTATGCATCTAAATCCCTAAAGGATAATTTATCTGAAAAATTGTTACAAATGTTGCAAATAGCAGGATTACGTGCTACGTACTTTAACTTAAGAACTATAGTTTGCATAGATTCTTTTGCCAGTTTTTCAACTCCTTTCAGTTTTTCCAATAATATTAAAAAATAAAAAGAGAAGTTCAGACTTCACACACCAGAACAGAACTTTCAAAAGAATGAAAACAAAACTGATATTATCTTACAGATCGTCGAGTAAAATAAATTTAAAGTAAAATACCATAATAAATATATTGTTTACAAACGTATTGCCTGCGACGGTGGATCGATAATACATATTTTTTTCGTAAATTTCTCAAAAAAGAAAAGTAAATTTCCAACTACATACTTTGTAACACTGTACTAAAAATTTGATTCAGTCCTACCTACATTTTTCTGAAATGACGAACAACACACTGTGATGTTTTTACTTTTTATTATTTTGCCAATTAGCTGCTGTAATTCAAAGGAAAGTTTAACAAGCCTTATTATTTTAATTAAAATAACATAACTTTCTCTCGACTTACACGCAAATTCTCTAAAATTAATATAACTGCAAGTGGACCGTAGGTTGTCCATTCACTCAACAGATAAAATGTGAAAATTAAAGACGGTTTGCAAAGCGATTGAAATAAATACAATCGGCCAAGTTCAAACCTGAAAATAATTTATTACTTTTCGTCCTTAAAAAGAAAACGAACTTTAGTTTACTCTTTTAGTACAATTACGTAGTGTTTTTTGCTCGGTTTTATTTAAAGAGAATTGGAGAGTATGCATTCGTTTTGCGATTTAAAATGTGTTTTGCATAAACTGCTATAACCTACTTTAATATTTTACCATAACTTATGCAAATAAATATTGGAATTCCATTGAGCTGTAGGTAATGAAAGGTAGGTGTGTCAATACGTTATTTAATATTTGTAAAACTTTAACCGTACGACGACAACTTTTTAATTACCAAATCTTATTGTGTAGTAATTAAAAAACAACTAAGAATTTAATTAAGCCGTTTCTATTAATATACTAATACTACGTTCAACATTGACATAATTTATAATTGTTTCGTATACATACCTACAAATATTTTTGTATATCAATCATTAATTTTTGTAAGTTACTAACAAGTTAAATTATGTATATAAATTTATAAAGAGGAAGGAGATCAGTACGTAATCATGCATTAATTTTTCTCGCCCCCCCCCCGCCTCCAATGCTTTTGGTATCCTTTGAGGGGAAGATATTTTTACTTTTCAAAAAGAAAAGGATTTTTTTTAATTTTATTATTTGTTTTATAACATGTGTTTACCTAATAATATAATGATAACAAAACAAGTTGAATAATAAGCTTTAAAAGTTACTTTACTTCTATTAAAATAGCTGAGGGTTTCTTCTTAATTTTTAAGTCAAGAAACACATGCAGCCCCGTTTCATAAAGGTAATCGGTAACATAATTTTCCTTTTTTAGTTCGTATTCTGTTTTCGTACCGATTCGTTTACATCAGTTCCATTTTTAGACAAATCCGTCATATCTTAGTAGACGTGCATTGCATGTTTCGACCAATTATGTGTATTATAGTGTGCCTTAGTTTCGAAGCTGATTGATGTCATGCACAGGGACATTGTGTTCGCTTAAAGTGCATGCATTCAAAAGCAAAAGCGTTTTGTGTTAAAAACACGTCGTCACAGTCACCATCGTCGTCCTGTTCAACCCACTTTCTACTTATTAAGCCGTCATTACACGTTCGAAAAATCGCATGCATTGTGGACTATTTTTCTCATCTTGAACCGTTTGGAAATATAGGGGTTAATATTGGAATTTTAAAATAAGATTTATATACGCATCGGCATCGTGTTACCATCGATAGAATTTATTTTTTAGGTGAACCATCATGTACCTACATAAATATATATATACCGCCACGGCGGTAGTATGGTATACAACATACAGTATTCAATTGAATTTTTTTGTTTCATCGGCGGTAGATTTTATTTACATATGCGAGTCTTACTGCAGTTACTTCGTTCTGCTTTCTTGTCATCCTAAATACCGTTACCTACTTTGAAATTTTACCATGTTTGGAATATTAAATGCTGCTCTACTGTCTCGCCTAGTAAATGGAAATATTTTACATTTCGTTTTTGACTTTTAGAATAGAATTTAAAATACAAAGTGTAATGCCGAATTTTCAAGTTGATTCGCATCTAATAACAATGTTTATTAGAGTCCGAATATTATAGTAATTATTCCATCTTTCCATTGTTCTTATACCCTTTCACTAAATTTCATAGTTTGGACTTTTTTTTTCTAATAAAAACGACATCCTAGAGAATTGCACGACACAGCAATTTAGGATAGTAGATAATTTATATCTTCCTCTTTTGTTGGCGCTAATTATGCTCTCCAGATAGTTAATGATCTCGGTAAGGCCTTGTTCAACTTCACATGCTTTTATTCAACATCTGAACAAAAAAGTCTTGAGCGAAAATATTATTCTGTTTTATTTACCTTTGTAGTTACACAGCGTTGCATCTCAACTTACTTAGTTTAAATTTAGCGGTATCATCAATATTCATTCAGTTAACACTTGCAATTATAAATACATGTAAACTCATTTTCAAGTTTTTTTTCTGATATCAAGCTTTTAATTAATGCATATGTTTTTCTTTGTTTTTTGCAGGATTTAGAATTCCATGGCGTTATGCGTTTCTATTTCCAAGATTCGGGTCAAAAGGTGGCGACCAAGTGTATTCGGGTCGCATCGGACGCCACCGTCGAGGACGTGATCGGCACTCTAGTAGAAAAATTTAGACCGGACATGCGGATGTTGTCTGTGCCCTCATATGCCCTTTACGAACTACACGAGGGTTGTCCGGAACGTAGAATGGCCCCTGACGAAAAGCCCCTACTTGTCCAACTCAATTGGCATGTGGACGATCGAGAGGGACGTTTTTTACTCAAAAACACCGACGAGAAAACGGTAAGAACTACTGGGTGTAAACATAACAAAAAAACAGGCGTAAATAATGATAAACAAAAAAATAATAGCTTATTAGTTATATTATTTATTGAGGGTAAATCAGAAAACATTTGTTTTTTTTTTTATTACAAAAGCCATAATTTAAAGCCTGTAGAAAATTTTTTTGAAATATATATTATAAATGTTAAATAAATACTAAAGAAATTAAAAATTTTGCGGAGGGGCGAATTTCTTAGAATTCGCCAAAAATATGTAATCACAACTTTTGAAGAAATATAACTAGTAACGCTGTAGACATCTGCAGTCTACATTGTGGACTACAGTCCAAACGAGGCGAGTTCAAGTTCTGCACTAAAGAGCAATCTTTTTTTCACCTTCAGTGGGTGGGTGGGTAGTTGTTATCATCATACATTATCTCACATAACTTCTCATTTTATTTTTAAAGGGAATCTTCAGAATAACAACTGTCTAATATTATTTTGCTACACCATTGAACGTTTTGTATACAACTGATAATTTTTATATGACTCCTCTGCATTATTAGCTACACTAATGATTTGAAATAGTTTGAGAAGTTAATTTTTGTTTTCTTTATTGGTAAGCTTTTATATACTGCATAAATAAAACTTTAATATCTAAAATTCAACATAAAACGTGCTTCGGCACTCAAGGTGTCATCCTCAGAATATCTCATACCCATTGTGAGAATGCGGATGACACCTTGGTTGTCGTAACGTATTGTAGATTGTTTATTATATATATGGCATTTGGGATTTTAGTATTTTCTTGCAAAATTTTTACAATTAAAACAGTATTATAATCATAAACTTTATTTTTTAGCACAACTCTGTTCATGATTCAAATGCAAGTTTCCGACGAAAATTATCTAAAAGGGAGAAAAAGCAGTTAAAGAAACAGGAGAAATTGCTACGCATGAAAAGCGAAAATGGAAGCGCCAAAGAGAAAGGTGATGGGGTTGCTGAGAAACTTTATTCAGGTATTAGACATACCCAAATATTTTTCATAAAATTAACATGTATTGATTACATATGTAGTCAATATTGCAAAAATTAGATTAGACGCTTTAAAATCTTGTAATGGGTCAACTGTAATATAGTTCATGGTGTATATGCGGTGGTGTTGGCTTTTAATGTTTTTATCGGTTAGATACAGATGCGTTTAATCGACACGTGCGGCCACAACTTCAAAACAAGCCGTTTTTTACAACATAAATCTCATTAAAACGGGCGAAGACTCTTCCGCCTCGTAAAAAGGGTACGCCGCTCCTTGTGATGATGCCACGTGCGAATATTATATGGTTCTAAACGTTTTTTTTTTATCACGTTGTGTAATGAAATATGAAGCTGGGTTACAGATGCCTCATTAGTTGTGTTTCTTTAAACGTCATGACGAGTGAAATCTTTATTATTGCTTAATTGAATTGGTATTTTAATTCAATATGAAACTGTCAATTATTTAACATTTGTGTTGTGTTTTGTGTGTGTTTTACTTTATTGTTTTATTTTAATTTTTATTATTTACTTTCAGAGCTTCCAGAAACGTCTTTCACTAGATCTATATCAAATCCAGAAGCTGTTATGCGTCGAAGACGACAACAAAAGTTAGAACGAAAATTGCAACAATTTCGATCAAAAGATGGTGGGCCAGACACAGGTATTATTTCAAATCAGATTTGGTTTTATGATTTTTGAGGTTATTCATAAAGTAGGAAATTGTTAATGAAGCAACGGAAAGTTACAAACAAGTCTTGAGCAAAGTTTAATAACAAAAACGATGAAGAAAATAAAAATAAATTTCCACTAGGTTTTGTTTACGTTTGCATATTTGCAATTGACCTTCTCACGGTCGATGCTGAAACTTGTTTATTTTAGGTGTTTCTTGCAAATCATTGTTTACTTTTGCAAAATATGAGAAAATCAAATATTCGTTCGACCTTGACCCAGATCAATAATGTCTGAAATAGAAAGTAAAGAAGGTACTAAAAGGAAAATATTAATTTTATTGGTTGCATTTTATTCGAGATTTTATAACTTATCCAGTGAAGATAACATTTAATGGAATATTATAAGAGCGAATTTTTGACCTTTTTTCAAAACAGACTTCCAGAATTAATTTAGCTAACGTTTCAGCTTTTCAATATCAATATCTATTATTCTATATTTGTTATAATATTGACACAGAAAGTTTTAAGAGATAGCCCACAACAGGGCCGGAAACGTTAGCTCAAATAAGGATAGTTGCACAAAATTATTATGGAAGTCTGTTGTAAAAAATAATGAAAAATTCACCCTTACCGGTAGTTACACATCAATTTACTTATTGGTTTATAGAATGGTTTTTGTTACTCTACAACTTAACAGTTAAATAATTGTTGTAATTAAAGTTGCGTTCCTAAATTCTAAGATTAAAAAAAATTTTACTTATCTTATCAATCCAAAAATATTTATATCAATCACTACGGTTAAAATCCTGAAAATAAATTAACAACGCTACGTAACAAATATGTGTTTATAATAGTGCTTTGAAAATTTTTTTACCATTTAGAAAGTAAAAATAATAAACTTATACAATATTTATAATAGAATATCATCTTATATTTTGTTGCTAATATTGAATAATAACGTTTATTTCTGTGTTGTGAATGTAACTACCCATTATATCAATTAATATCTTTTAAAATATTTCTCTTACTCTTTTCTGCTCCAGGTGAAGCTGAATACAAATTTTTTTGGGCCCTTCCCTTACATTTCTATGGCCTGATTAATTACAAATTGTGAATGTTATAGTTTTTTTCACTTTTGCAAGTTACAATTTGCTGTGTCCCATCCACAATTCTTTTATTAATTTCACTGCATGAATTGCAGTTCCTGGAGACACCATTACCCCGTAGCCACCGTGCCCATAATTATGGACAATTTTCTGACGTTTTCCCTTGCTCATTACAATTTCCTTTTCCACTCTGACCACACTTCTGTGGGGTCGCAATCCTACCCTTTGACCAATAACTCTTGCGTTTTTTAACTCTGGCAAAAGAGATTCACATCTTTCTTTAATTGCTAGGCCATCATACTTATCCACTTCCAAATTATATGAATCATACTGTCTGCAACCCCCTAAGGTTACACCTTCAAATCCTGGGATTATATACGTGTCATAATCTACATAAAAGAAATGTTTTATCCACGGTGCTTCTACTTTCCACACCTGGCCACGAAGAGGTACCAATAAGTTGTCATTACACAAATATTTAGCCCCCATTCCCGTGCAGTTAACAATTACATCAAAATCCATGATTTTGTCACTAAAACTATCCACTTTCTGTGAAATAAATTTTCCATCTAACTCTTTAATTTTACGTGTAACCCAAGGAAGAAATAAATCACACTCTGTGAGGATGGTACTATAAAATGAACCATATTTCCACGTACCTGGACATAATTTTAATTCCCCTTCAGTGGCCGTCCTATATACTGGCAGTATTTTCTCCAGATAATTATTTTTTGTAATGCTAATATGTGTGCTTGAAAATATGTAGCCTGACAATTCCTTCACCCCGGCTTTGTGAGCTTCAGGAGTTCTTTTAATGTCCGTCCAATAGTTGTAAGCGTTTCGTATCCATTCATATGTAACTTCTTCGGTTGGCCCTCGGAAGCTCGTTCCTGGTCGAAACAAACCTGCCGCAACATAACTAGTAGTGTCACGATGAAACTTATCGGCGATAATTGTTACTTCGGCATTCCGAATTTGATTTTTTAATTCGAGAGCAGTAGTCAGACCTACAACACCAGCACCGATAATTCCTACTTTAAAGTCCGACATTTATCGTTGATGTTCTACAGCGCACTGTCAGTTATATAAACACTGAAATGTAAATGTACTCGAATTTAATTATAATAAATGCTCTTTGTAAACACTTCACGTAATCAGATACTGACTGTGACAAGATAAATAATTGTAAAGAAATTCGTACACGTTTAAAAACGATTCATTCGTAAGTAAAGATTTCATTATCAACTTACGTTGGTGCGTTTTATTTTCTAACAGTTGCCTACAAATATTTTTGGAACGGATCGATTTCATATACAGTAGGGTACAGTAAAATTATGCTCGGAGCTTTGAAAAAGTATTTACATCATTGTTTTGAAAAATTGAGTTGTATTGTAACTAAAGTTGCTTCAAAACATAAAATCAAATAGAATATTAAATTGATCTCCATTAAGTAACAATTGTTATTAGTCTTTAGTTTTGAAAGACAAAAGAAAAGTTTAAATATTTCTTTAGGATAGAATATGTAATTTTAGTATTTACTATTGCCCATCCAAAGTTCCTTTGCCAATTTTACAGTTGCAGCTGCAGTTCCTGGAGACATTGTAACGCCACAACCGCCATGACCGTAATTGTGTACAATCTTTAATTTTCTATTCCCTTCCAAATGTTTTATTTCCTTTTCCACTCTTACTGTTGATCTGTAGGGTCTCAGTCCAACCCTTTCTGCTATGACTTTGGAACCTTTTAAACTTGGTAGGAAATTTTCACACTTGCCTTTGATCGTTTTACTATCCCATTCATCCACAATCGTTTTAAACGAACCGAATTGATAAATGCCCCCAAGAGTTACACCTTCAAATCCGGGAATGATGTAAATGTCGTCATCTCCAAAGAAAAACATTTTTAACCACGGAGCTTTTACTTTCATTATTTGTCCACGCACTGGATGTAATTTGTTGTCGTTGCACAAGGTTTTTGCTCCAATTCCTGAGCAGTTGATGATTATATCGAATGTGGAAGGCAAATTTGCAAAACTGTCTAGTTTTTGTTGGATTGTTTTCCCTCCACGTCGTTGAAATTCATTTGTAGCCCATGGAAGAAAACGGTCACATTCTATAAGTAAAGTGGTTAAAAATGATCCATATTTCCAATCACCGGAAACTAAGTTGAGTTCTTCTTCAGTAGCTGGTCGGTATATTGGCAGCAATTCTTCCAAATATCGATTTCTGACACTTTGTGGGTCTTCTGTTGATGATAAAATATATCCAGAGATACTGGTAACGCCTGCTTTAGATGCGTACGGTGTTTTGCGGATGTCGTTCCAATATCTGTACGACGTTTCCGCCCATTCCTTCTTCAGATTTTCAGATGGAGCGTTAAAACTTGATGCAGGATAAAATAATCCAGCTGCTACACGACTAGTGGTGTCACTGAGGAAACGGTCGGCTACTATTGAAACGTCAGCTAGGGGTATTTGTTTCTGCACTTCTAAAGCTGTGGTCAAACCTGCCACCCCTGCTCCTATCACGCATATGTGTAGACTCGACATTTTTGTCTGTAACTAGACGAACACTGCATTCTGATGTTAGCTGTTGTACTTTATATTATTTATGCTTTTTATCAATATGACTTTTAAGTGAAGGTCATGGTGTTTATTAAAATTGTCGCGATAAATTTACAATATCTGTCTGCCTGTTGTTTATTATGAGTGCTTTAGAAGTAAACATTATAAATTGGTTACTTTATGTTGACATTATAATAATTTAATAGTAAAGTTAAAAATGAGAAATATTCGAAATATAGATATATAATAAAAAATAGGCGAGACAGGTTGGTAGGACACCTTCTCAGGCATGAGGTCTAGTCAAAGACATATTAGCGGCAGATACAGGAGTTAGAAGGGGAAGAGGTAGACCTAGATTAGATTACTGTTCGCAAATAGTTAAGGATGTGGGCTGTTCTAGTTTTAGGGAAATGCGAAGTTTAGCTCAGGATAGGAAAGAGTGGAGGTACGTGTCCAACCAGTCTTAGGACTGACGACCNTCGCAAATAGTTAAGGATGTGGGCTGTTCTAGTTTTAGGGAAATGCGAAGTTTAGCTCAGGATAGGAAAGAGTGGAGGTACGTGTCCAACCAGTCTTAGGACTGACGACCCTATGTTGATGATGATGATGATGATGAGATATAGATATTAAATAGAAATACGTATTTATTAATAAACAGCTACAAATACATGAAACAGCAATGAAAAATATCTTTTTTGTCAAAGATATCAGAAAATTTTTATTATTAGCATGATGGGTTTTCTCTATCCAATGAAATTACTCTGAACAGTTTAGGATTTTTTCCATCGTCTAATTACTTTGATGGTCTTCAATAACAATTTCATTATCCCACTAATTCCACTCTTAACATTTAATTTGTAAGGTCAAGGTTTAGTTTGTGGGCGCTATATAGTGACTTAGTGTAGGTTTAGTTATTTATTTAAAATTCTGCTTTCTCTCGACATAACGCTAAGATGCAAAGTTAGTATCTTCAGGAATTCCTTTGTGGTAGATTTACCGAACCTTAAGGAAACGTAATTCATTTATAATTTTAGTTATACATGTAGCTTTTAATGTACCTACTTAAATATATTTCTCAGTAGATGTAGATTATTAGGATTTTTTTCTATATTGTTGCAGGGGGTACGTTAAAAATATACGGCGAAGCCTTGTGCAGGGATGTGCCGTACAAAACGTTATTGTTGTCTATAAGAGACACCGCGGGTTCTGTGGTGCGCGAAATGCTCGACAAATACGGTCTTAACAAGGCTGACCCATCGCAATGGTGCTTGGTACAAGTTACGTCACAACCGGGATCGCCTGATACGGAATACGTCCTAGATGAAGACGAATGTCCACTGTCCATACTCATGAACTCCCCGAACACAAGTAAGTGCTTTTTCAAATACATAACTTGTCTTTTTTCAAGATAAAGATCGCCTCTCATGTTAATCTTTTTACGCTCTGAGAGAAGGGCGCAACGGTATCCAATTTCTTATTGTTTAGATGGTACATTTACTATCACTTTTTTGTCAGTTATTACGACGTAGGTACAGTTTTAGACTGTAAATAATATTTTTTAATTTAGATTCACTTATTAGCAAGTCATTTAAAATTAATTTTAATGTAGGAGAACGTAAAAAATTCTTTATCAATATTAAGAAATACTCGATTAATCAATAGATTTAATAATCGTTCTTGCTGGTTTCAACGATTGCATAAACCATAAACGTATTGATTTTAATTATGTTAAGTATGTTATTCCATTATTTAATCGTCGCAAGCTCAATCAATTAGTAACATCACTGGTGCATTAACTTTCTTCAACTTTTATAAACAGAAATATTATTGTGAATCTAAATATAGGAAATTTAATTCGTGGTGTTTTACTGGATGTCCTTGCTGCACATGGATTAAAGCACAAAAATTGTATCGTTTTTGTTTGATAAGGTATTTCGATTTATTAATCGATTAAACTGGATATTTCAATTAAAATATTTAATTAGACAGTTGTTACATTGATTGGTATTCCATAACTGATAAATGTTATTTAAAATACCAATATTTTGAGTTGCAGAACACTTTTTGTTCGTTCTTGAATATAAAAAACAATGAATGTTATATTGTGGATAAACGTGGGATGTCTTTAAAAATCGAGTCATTGATTTTTCTTCTATTTCGATCACAAGATTGATTGTATGTAAAATAAAGGGATTTATGACATCGCATTATCTCACGTGCTGTAGGTATTCTACTAATATGCAAAGTTTTAACAAAATCGGTTCAACATTATTGACTGAGAAACATTCAAAATAACTTTTAAGTTTTTGTACTGATAAAGTAGGACTGGGTAGGACAACGAATGTTGAAGTCGTCTTAATAACAACAAAGACAGAAAAAAAAAATGGGTTGCAGTGAGATACAACTGTTACGTTTATTTTCGCTTGCCCGATTGTTTTCCGAACTGGCAATTTATTATTACGTACAGTTGTCTGTCAGTTGCAAATATGTGTATGTAATTGATGTCTGTGTCATCGTTCACGTGGTTCGTAATAATTAAATTTAAATGACATCTCAAGACTCCCAAGTTCTCTCTCGTGCATACCATGCTACATACTGTACACAAAGTCGTTGCACTTATGGTATAGGTCATGATTACTATGGTTGTGTGGACATGCCGAGGAGAAACCAGTTTTGGTTTCTAGAGGCTCACTCTCAGATACCTACACGCGGCCAAGAGCAAAAAGAACGAGATTTATCGCGAACATTACACATAAGTAGATGAAACATCTGCTTGGCGATCTTTTTTTCGTTTTTCTGAGGGTTTTAAGCGAGTTAGACTGTGATTGTGGCTTAAGTGGTAGCGAATTGTGTGGGCAGTCATGAAATTTATTTATATTTTACACAACAATAAGTATTGGTAATGTTGTAAAGAACGGATAAGCTTAGATAATTGTAAATCCTAAAAATTGAGCGGTAAAAGTGGGACTACCGCCACTATAAAAAGGTACTTAGAGGGCAGCATGGTACTTGCCTGTATTATTTCCTATTGAAAAGGTTAGAAAAAGGGAGTAGGGGAAAGAAAGGGCTCCATAAAAGTCAGTATGAATAGGGATCGATAGGGTGGTAGGACGTCTAACTCATGAAGGGTTAGTTATGGACAGAAGTTGAAACAGCAATAGGATTATTGTTCACAAATGTTAGGGATGTGTGATACCCTAGAGGTCTAGAGAAATGTGAAAATTACCTCAGGCTGGTAAGGAATAGGAGCGCGTGTCTAAGTAGTCTTGGGATTGACTATGACCCTATGATGGTACAATACATTTCGGGAACGGATAACTTTATTATCAATTTTGAACTGTCTTGGTTATTAGTGCTAAAAAATCAATAGATTGCAAAGTGTAAATGACTCCAGAAATGATAACAAATGAAACTAAAGAACCCAAGAAAATTCTTAAGGAAGCATTTATTAGAAAAATATTTCTATTCAGAGATAAACTACATCAGTTTTCGTCATAAATCTTTTACTGACTTTTGATGTATTGTTTATCCTGGTCCTACTGTATTTCTTGTCATTTCAAATAATATTGCGGTTATTAAATTTTAAATTTAATGATGGAACTTAAATGTCATTTCCTTTTAGCGTGACGGTTACTTTAATTAATATCCACCGCGAAATTTTACCGCGTCTTTCATAATTTCCAGCCGACAATCTTTGCTTTTATCGTTAATTCTCTTGAACTTGCTTCTATAAGTAAATCACGATTTTATTATTGAAACCGGATGGTGTATTCAGACAAGGTTCCCTATCGGCCATAACTCTATTTTTAATTCTGCCCGCTATTTTAGTCTTGTTATTAGCGTGAGTTATATCCAACTAATTTAAAATATGTCCGTCCGTTTTAACTTGCACGAACTAGTTACAATGTAATCGATAATTAAAATGTAGTTTCATTGTAATCGACAATTAAAATGGTTAAAATAATTTTTATTTTAAACGGACGTGAAAAATTGCATGTTAGAGAGAATGTTGTAAACAAAAGATTTATATATAGGTACTATAAGGTAGGTAATAAAAAAAATGTTTTCTTAAATCGATCGTTCTTGTTCTTTTATGACATTAGAATGCACTGCTTGTTTTAGATCTGAATACTGAAGGACACTTGTAAGTTTTTGAGAATGGTAGGTATCTAGAGCACTTCCGTTCAACATCGTTATTGTAATTCTTATATCTGTATGTGATCAAAAATTTTTCGATTTGAGTTTTACCAATACAGAAGCAGTGAGTTATCACGCAGATAGTTTCGCATTTTCAGTAATTAATTAAAAAAAAATATAATTTCGGAGTGCTAACTTATTCAGGTCGCACTCTTTTATCTAGGACTAGGTTTTACCCGCGGTTTCGCTTGCGTTGATGTCAGTACGTGTCTATGATAATCGACGACCTCATAAAACTAATTGTTTTCTATCCCTCGGGAACAGTTGTTTTTTTTTTGTTTGGATAAAAGGTGCCCTACGTCCTTTTTTGTACCCATGAGAATGTGTGTACAAAATTTTATGATAGGTTTTACCCGTAATTGCGCTCCCATTGATGCCCTAAATCCGTGTCAAAGATCATAGGCGATCACATAAAACTAATTATTTTTATCCCTCGGGAACAGTGTTTTTTCTGGGTAAAAAGTATCCTATGTCCTTTGCCGTACCACTGACAACGTGTATACAAAATTTCATGACAATCGGTTGAGTAGTTACGACGTGAAATAGTAGCAAACAAACAAATGCAAGGATGAGAAATGAAAAGCTCTGTAAAAAAATTTGGTTAAAATTTTAACATTTTTCAAACTTTAGGCGGAGTTTCTGTATTCAAAAGTACCTTGGCTGCGCACCCAATACTTATTGTGATACTCAATACGATTAATTTCACTCTTTTCACTGAAAAATGTCTCGAAAAGCTTAATAGTACACTTATAGAAACCTTGTCAGTTGAGCATATCTCCCAGTCAAATCCAAGTCCGTTGTTTTTCTCGTTGGCAAGCGGACAAAAAGTTTAACCTCAGTCATTACATTGTCGACAGCGACTGAGATCAAACGGACAATGCTGTAATACAAGAAAGTGGGTTAATAACAACGTGTTTGATTAAACGTTTCCCCTCAGTTGTTATAGTGTTCGGTTTACATCGCGCTCGTCGTTTAATTAAATTAAGATGTTTTCGTTTGTTTCGGACTGTAATTGTGGTAAATAACAAACGTTTGCGCGGTCAAGTGCGAGTATTGTTTTAGTTGTGTTAAATATGAGACAAAGTTTGAAAAAGATTAATCAGATTTTTGGCGGATGCGCCGGGAGAAGAAAAAAAGATGAAGTACAAGGTTAGTGAAATATAAATTGTTTATTGGGGGTGAGAATTATTGTTATCGACATTAGCGTTGCTGAGTTGTACGTAAAAGTGACTGGGTGATTGGGACCCTTTTAAGGGTTTTGTGACAGAAAGTCAAATCAGTTTTGAAAGAAAGTATTCTCTGAAGTTACAGAAAGTTCGTGCCAAAGAAAAAGATAAAAAATAAATCGTTATTATTATCATACGAAGGATTTTAGTAGTACTGAAAAATGTGTTGTATTTTGTAGGCCTATGACTAGCTAAATATCCCAAGTCACGAACTTGTAGGCCAATCTTTATTTTAAATTATCTATTAAACAATCAAGTTCTCGCGGAAATGCAAGAAGACTTTGCGATATAACTCTTTAAGAACTTCTCAGAACTCTGTCCGAAAACTCAAAAAAAAATTTCGAATTTTGGGCAGTTCTCTATACAGAACTTTGCTAGAACTCTAGAATTTTTTATGTCGAACCCTCCTCAAGAATGAGAACTGGCTTTCCAGTATTTAATTGATGTTTTCGTGTTAGTTCCATTGCAAGAGGAGTTTTCCACTTCGATTTTTTGAAGTAGATCGATATTGGTTTTTCATGTTATTATTTATTAAACGTATTTAGTATTGTACAAAATAAATAAAAGAACCTAATTTTGTTGAATCAAACTGAACATGAATCGTAAAAGATTAAAATAAAGAAACCTTCTTTGAAACAGCTTTAGAAAGCGAAGAAAATATCGATCATTTGCTGACTTTACAAAGTTTTTTAACAATTTTCATCTCTGACAGTGTTACTCCCAAAGTTGTTAGAAGCTGTTTGGTGAATAGGTACTTGAAACTACTAGCAGCTTCAATTTCTTACTCATGCTATGAATTATTTTCTATTAGTAATTCGTGTCTGGTTTATATCATACTCCAAATTACTTTTTATAATGGGCTATATTTAATTTCAACTCGCCTTTAAAACAGTATAGGTATTTGTTTTTGTTTGTCACAAAATATAGTCTTTTCGTCCTTGTTTT